AAACCTGTTGAATATGTATAGGTTTTAATCAAATAAAAATGATGACTGACAGTTCAACAATTAGATCATCTGGGGATTCCACAAGCTGTTTAGAAACTGTCTAATTATTTTAAATATCTTTTGCAAGTTTTATTTTGGTAAAACTTTGTAACTGTCAGGTTTGTCAGTTCTATCCAAGAGTCCATATTTGACTCTCGGGGATTTCTGACTTTTCTTTTTTTATGTTTGATAATCTTTATGGGAACCAAACACTTTATTTTCTTTCCAGGAGGTGATGATGTTCGCCTACCATCCTTTTATGTCATGTATTTTCTCCATAAATTTATAAAGTCATAACTGCTAATTATTTCTCAATTTCATGATGTCCCACTGCACTTCAACTTAAACCAATCTATTAGCATACTTCATAGTTCAGGGTTTGAAATCCCAACAACCAAGAAACAAGACATGCTAAAACTGTATCTAAAATGTCATATTCCACACTATGGGACAATAATACCAACCACAATTTTAATGTAAGGAATATCTGATATTTTAAAGCTTTATTTGGATCATCCATAAGCATATTTTAAATTAATTTTTATATTCTTTAAATCAAATTAACTCCCTGTTTGAAATTTGGATTAATCTTTTTGTTGTTTTAATTGTGTTGTGAAACATAGTTGCAACAAAAAGAAAGAGATCAGTTATTCAGACAACTCTTGAAAGAACGACTTCAATCTGAATGATTTGTATTATTATATTCCTCAATATACGTTATGCCAAACACTAGTTAAATGAGATTTTTTAATTTGATGTTCTTTCAGGATAAATTTGATCATTACTCTCTACAGATTCTTTTTCTTTATCTCTGAACTGCCATGCCTTCTTGATAAATATAATAAAATGGTGTCCGATTATCTTTTCCATGATTGGTTACCCTGCTAAGGCAAAAGTGCCACATATGCCTTAGAAGTTTGAACTAAGATTACTACAAGAGATGTATTTTTATTAACTCTTTATGGGTTTAAGAATGTTTGAACTGTGCTGAATTCACTCCCACTTTTTTAATAGTTCAAAGAAAGTAGAAAAACTACCATAGTCTTATTGAATAGCATGTACAGTTTTATTGTACATAGAGCATGGGCTCCATCAGATAATTTGGCACTTAACACATCCATTGTTGCTACAGCTTCACTGCTGCCTTGCCTTTATGATCTGAATATGTTACAAAGCTTATTTACATTTTCTTTATGTAAGGAAAGTGATCTGGGTTAAATGATTACTTTCTTAGCTCAGAAGTGTTACAATAAATAAAAACTGAAGGTGATAAATTTTACTTGCTGTCTATCACAGGTATAATAGATATGTCCCTTAGCTACATTTATACTTTCATTGGATTCTCTTTTATTGAAAGTAATTTTGATTGGATCAGATTAAATTTCTTTGGTTCTTTATCGAGGTACATATTGATGGTGGTTCTTCAGCAAATAATTTCCATAAATTTATATCTCATTTGAATTTCTACTCTGCTCTTATTCTTTACATTAAAGAGGCTAATGCCAAGCCATCATCTATTCTGTTCATTTGATTTGTACATTATTTCTTTGTGTGAAATGTAAACTGCTTTCTTCATACACACATGCATATATATAATTTAAATAAAATGGAAATACTCCTTTATAGGCAATATTACTTTCCATAAATTGTTTTTTATTGATTTTTATTGAAACTTTTTCCAACATCTCATTAAATAAGTGGGAATATCTTCACCACTTCTCACCCCATTGCTCTTATCAGGTGTCCCCTGGGCAGTTGGCAAGAAGTGCAGGTTCCTTTTCAGATCAATATACAGAATATTTGAATGTGTTTTGGCAGCTACATTTTGGTTCATATGAATATGTTTTCATATAACCTATTCCAGATTTCTATTTCAAATTACTAAAAATATCTGATTAGAATTTTATCATCCTACTTAAACAATGATTTATGAGATAGCCTTTAATAAATATGATATCTGATTGAATAATTTTTAGTTTCATTAACAACTGAAATCTCTGGTTTTGTTATAGAACATTGAACAAATAGAAATATTTAAGGTTCAAATCAGGAGTGTTGTCAGATAAGTGGTACCCAAGTAGAATAAATAGATAATCTGAATGCCTTAGAAAAATTCAGTGATTAATTGATTCATTTTATACAGCTTATCAACCATTTTCAGATTATTTAAAGCCAGAAAATATTGTTGGAATGAAATAATTATTTTTCTTTTTGTGGCAGTAAGGATTTTATTAAGTCTTACTAATTAGCCCATAACTGGGGGGAGAAGAGGTGGATTCATACCTTTCACAAGATTATTTGCACATAAATAAATATAAAAAAAACTAACTAGAATATGGCTCTCCAATTTCCAATTAGAAGCAGTTCATCACTACACCACACACATCCAAGTTTACAGCATCTGGTATTCCCAAGATGTCACCTGTTTAAGTACTGACTAGGCTTGACATTTTTTAACTTCAGTGATCATACAAGAACCAGTGTTTCAATGTAAGCCATCATAGAGAGAAAAAGGGATTTTAAATGAGAAAGTATTGCTGAAGGCAATGAAAGACAAACATGGAGAGCCATAAACATCTTTGTCTGGAACGAACACTACACAAAAAAAGTGATATGTACATGTATGCTCAGATTATTAAATATTTTATAAATATATAGATGTAGATATGCCATATAAAACTGTAAATGTATACCTATTTTTAAAATTAAATAGCTGTCATAAAATAGGTATATTTTGAATCTGTGTAATACAACAAAGAAAATTGTTTTCTATAGCCACCAATGTTGAAAGCTAATCTCCCTCTAATAATAAAATTGTAATGGCAGCAGTATGAGCAAGATCTCATATTTACATAGATAGAAATGGTGGGTATGTCAAAGGTTACATGGGTGCATGGTCAAGTGATTAGAATGTTCACGTTCCAACTATGAGACCTGTGTTCGAATCTCACCATGGTTAATAAGAATGCCCCATAAAAGCAAATTTTTTCTTAAGGAATGGAGAAAAATCTTTATTTAAATAAATCTGCTTTGTACATGTGATGCATTGGTATGCTGAATAAAGTTACAAGCCAATCTAAAGTAATATTGTTCCATCATATTTATTTCATGTACAAAATGTTTTTTGGAAGCCTCTCCTCAAAAATGAATTTTTAGAATACAGTGACACTAAATCTGAAATATTTCAGGTGGCTATAAACAACAATTTTCTGTTTTGAATAAAACAAATTGAAAATATGTATTTTTTATAAAATTTTAATTAAATTTAAAATTGGATAATTTTTTGTTGCTGGTGTAAGTATATGTGCGTGTATATATATATATATATATATATATATATATATATATATATATATATATATATATAAAATCATTCATTTCTCCGGCTTCATATATACATTCAAAACTTACTGAAGTGCACATTTTCTTTATTTTTAAAAAGCCCGAATCTCAAGCCAGTAAACATCAGTTTTTCTCTTAAAAACTGATTCTACTCAAACATGCATTAATGCTTACAGTAATGAAAAATCTATCTATCTATCTATCTATATCTATCTATCTATCTCTCTCTCTCTCTCTATATATATATATATATATATATATATATATAGTTTTAAGTTATGCTATATTTATGGGTAAAAGTGCTCAATATCTGGGATGAAGCTTGTGCAAAAAAGAATGGACACTGAGTTCAACACCAAGGGACAAAAATCTGTTTCATGCTTAAACACAATTGTCATGACTATTTATATATGCTAGTCATAGGGGCATTATAGGTAGCAAGGTCAGTTATTTCCAGTTTATTTTGTTATGACCATTCTATCCGTAATATCCAAATGACTAGCATATATAAATAATCTAGCTACCAAACATACATGGTATTAAGATTGCATTTAAACATTCAACAAACTGTCACCACTTGGAGTTGACTTCAGTGTCCATTTTTATATTTACACTCACATGCACTATATATATGAAACAAATGAAAGTATTGGTAAACCAACACAAATGTGCCAAGTGACTAAAGAAAAGAAAATTTAAAACCAAAACCAATAAATCAAGTGATGAAGACCAATGGGGCATATTTATGGATCTAGTTGTAGGGCTAGTGATGTAATCAAGGTGTGACATGTTGTGATGTAAGCAAGGTGTGTGACATGTGTATTTTGTTTTGTTGTATACATTTGAGGATGTGAGGGTGGTGCTTTTAAGTTATAATTGTTTTTATTCATAGGTGGTTGTTTTTGTTGTATGAATATTACTTGAAGCAACATTCACATGTATATAAAAAAAACATGTTATTACTTATGTCACAAGACTCAGTAGTTCTACAACTTTAGATCGCAAAATGTGTCCCGCATGCCTTCATAATAAAAGCTTACTTTAAAAAATGTCATTTTACACCATTTGAATGAAACACAAATGTTTGAACCATATTTCCTCTACTTTTCTTCCAAAATGAATTTCAGACAATTTCTGATGGAATTTTCTCCTTGTTTGAGAAGGTTTATTTTTAACTTGAAAAAGTCAATCATTAAAATTAATAGACACAAAATGTCTATTTTTTAATAGTATTTACCTTAAAGAACATTTCATTTGCTTCCTAAATGCTGAGTACATATGTGGGGTGTCATTTTATTTGGTTAGATTTTAGATAATAGGTCAAGCTGACAACATTTACACATTACCTCATGACTGTGTGTACATAGATACATACAAAAACACCTACATAAAGGCTGATAGAAACAAATCTTATGAATAAAAAATTAATGTTATAAGTTTTAGACCTGACAAGATATAGTAAGCATTGTCATTTCTAAAGGATTTTAATGTCTCTGATGCTAACATATACATTATTTTTGTTATGAACAAAGAAATTATGTAACACAAAGCAAAAAGGCCAATCATGCTTCTATTTCCTTTTTCTCTTAATTCTATGCTTGTGTATTTCTTTTTGCTCTATGTTGCACTGCTTTTTGCCAGAATGCTCTCGAGGCTTCTATGGCTCGGGATGTTCAAAAACCTGTCACCGCTGCCATGTATACTCATGTGATCGCTTTAATGGGACCTGCAAGTTTGGCTGTACCACCGGTTATACAGGCCCGCAGTGCAGCCAGGGTAAGTAAGTGACTAGTAATTGAGTGATAATAAAAACACAGTGGCTTTTATAGATTTCTTTGAGATTCTTGCTGGAATCTGGGAACATTTTCAATTTGCCTCACCTTCAGTCTGAATCTCTAGAGAATGTTAAAGTTTCCAAGTTTTGTTGGAGAGAGCACACAGTCACCAAATGGTTTTTCCATTTTCCATGTTTCTTTTTTAAATTTTCTCATGAATTATTTAAATTTAGAAATTTTGATTTGCTTAGACAGAATATATTTATAATTATGAAAATTGTTACATATTATTGAAATATCAAAGTCATTTTTAATTTAACTAAGTCTTATAACCATTGACCAATCCTACAAAGAACAAAAAACTTAAAATGTACTTCAGTTGCAAAGAATATCAGCAGATTTAAATTAACTGGTACATAGGTACATAAATAGTAATGTGTTTATATGTACAATCTCTCTCTATATAACTATATTAGGGGAAAAAGTATGACAAAGTTGAAAAAAATTATTGTATGATGTGTTTTTAGACAAAAATGTTTAGAAAATGCTTTAATCACAAGATCATCCACAGTAAAACAGTAAATTTGTTTTCTTACAGTGTTTCACCTATCTTGGCAGAACTTCTATTAGCACAGTGTAGAGATATTTAATAACAAAAGTGATGGAAACATAACCAAAAAGAAACTAAATGAAATTGTCTAGACTATATACCCCATAACATACACTATGATTCAAAAAATTTGAGGCCACTCCTGGTAATTTTTAAAATTGACCCCCAAAAGTAGTTGTACTTCAACCAAGAGAAAATTGTTATGCATAGTTAAAAAAAAAAGTGAGGCATAATTTTTTAGTAGAAATTATATTAGGACAAAAAGAAAAAAAACATTTTATGATTAAATTTTGTTCTCATCAAAATATTCTCCTTTAGCCTTGATTACTGCAGCACAATTTTTTGGCATTCATTGTAAAAGTTTCTCAAAGTATAAGTTTGATAATCAATACCATTCTTTTTTCAATAACTCAAAGAGCTCTTTTTCATTTTTTTCATTCCTCTGTCAAATTTATCCAATGCTAATTCTGAGGGTGGCTTCAAACTTTTGAACTGTAGTGTATATTAAAAAAATCTTTCAGATTCTCAGTATCCCCTTTCCTGCATACTCATGTCTAGTTGCATCAGCATAAATATCAGTTTAGTCTGATCAAGTCCCAAAGGATGAAATGTCACACAAAAACTTTTTCTACATTTTCATTTTGCCTAAAATTGTCCTTGATATATAAAAATTTATATATATAAAACTTTGATTGTAAGGTGAGTTCATTTCTTTCTTGGTTATCTTAATAAGTAACTCCAAATATTTATATATGTACATACATGTAGTTATAAATGCATATTTCATATGCTTCTATATAAACAAATTAGAGGATTTAATTTTAATTGGACATATTTATTATTTCAAACATTATTTTTAATGGATACCTGTATTGGAAATAGACATAGCTTTTTTTATTTTAAACAGTGTATATTACATTTATTAGTCTGCATACTCAAGAAATGTTAATAAAGAAAATGGTCAAACCTGTGTCCCCATTTATAGGAGAACCCACCATTTCATCTGGCATGCTTTAGACTACTCAGTCACAGAGAACAGGCCAGCAAAGTTCTATTTTTTCCTTAAAAGAGAAAACAGAACCTTGCTATACGTTCTCTCTCTTTTTATATAGATAGTCATTCACAGACTGTTTCACTGTATCACAGCCCCTCAGTGTGGCTAGATGTCTGATTGCTTCAAGTTGGAATTGAAATATATATATATATATATATATATATATATATATATATATATATATATATATATACTACTGACTGTCCTGTTGCTTTTGATGTACTAGAATCTGGAATGCAGCTCTGTTCTCAGAACCAACAGCCAGACTACCCACATATATCATTTGATTATAGTGGTGAAGTTTTGTGCAGAACCAACAACACTTTTTGGAAGAGCCAAATACAGAGAACTGGTGAGAAGTATGCCACAAGATTCCCAAATGACTGTTCACAGGTTTTGAATTCAGAGTTTTCCGTCTTCTAGACTGCTTGCCACCCAAGGCTATAGGACCTAGTCTGTCCTGCTATTTACCCATAGCTGAGAGAGAAGAGATGAATTCATACCTTTCCCAAGGGTATTACCATGTAAGTGAATGTAATGAACTTGACTGGAATTTGAACTTGGCTCTTCAATTCCTCAATGTGAACTACTCTACATTACTCCACTGTGCATCAACACACACACACGCATAGAGTTGCATATATTACAATAAATTATGGCCCTTGACCAAAAGACATGTTTGGTTATTTGCCCTTGGCACTGTCAGACAAATTAAAATCTTTTCCCAGCATATGGTAATGCAACATTCAACAAAGAGCAGACAATGAATTATGCTTGCAAGTAAGCCCTGAAACAAAATTTTTTGTATTCCATGACATCGATTTATATATATATATATATATATATATATATATATATATATATCTTGAGATGACTGTAATATATGCTCCTATCTACCACTTCCTTGCCATCCTTCTATTGTAATTAATGAAATGGAATACTGTTTCCAGGTTAATACTCAAAAGTTGCATATATGCCAAAGAAGCAGACAAATTTAAACAAATGGATGGAGAATCAAGCACCCTTCTATTGATAGGAGATATAGCCTCCAGCACCGGAAGTTGATCATTTGTCTTTCATTCTCAGAGATCATGTTCAAAGTCTAACCAAAACCATTCATCATGAATTTGTTTCTTCTTGTTGCTTGACCTGTCCTGCTTATAACATTCATATGTATATATGCATACACAGAATCATCAGAAAATGGCATCAAATATATATTTTCTCTGAAAATTTTCTTGACATTTTCAGAAAAGAAATATGTACATCACATCCTTTAGAAAATCAAAATTAAAAAAAGAAATAAATACTGTTTGATATAATTATGTACAATTGCTTTTTCTCATTGATATGCTGCTTGTTTCCAAGGATCTGTGCAGACTGATCTATTCAGTTCTTGCAGATTCCTCATCCTGTTTGCACCAATGGTTTTAAAATGAGCATCAGTTGAACATATCTAGTATATTCTTTTGACTTAGTGCCCTTTTTAAATAGCACAGGAAGTTGACTACCAAGTGTCTCTGGGTAGCCTTTTTTCAGCTGAATTGTATTAGAGGACTAAATGTCTTGAACTCTGCTGTTTATTTATGGAATCAGGACAGTAGCATAATCTGCAACCTGACCAATTCAGCTATTATATTCTCTGAATTTCTTCAGGTGATATAGATTGGAGTTTCGAACCAAACCCTTTATTAAGTCCATGGGGATAGATTGTTTGAATTCCACATGCCATGCCATTTTTGAATATCTTGATTTCAACATATTTTATATAACTAATGAAAAGAGATTTTACAGTTCTTTTCTTTCTTGAAAGGATTACAAAACTATCGAAGAATATGAGACCCAAGAGTCATTCAAGGTAATGTGTTATTCAGCGAGATTGTTGTAAGTGTAGAAACGTTGGGGAGGAGAAAGTAAGAAGAGTATGTTGTGAGGCTTTATAATGACTGATCCTAGACTTGAAGATGTCAAGATTCTAGTGGTTAAGGAAGCATCCTCTCAGTAGTCTGTTCCCTAAAATGACGGTGCTGGGGAAGAAGCTGTCAGAATGGAACAACTCCTTATGAAGAGAATGGGGGATGATTTGATGCCATGAACATGGCATGAGGATTCTAGCTGTGAATGTCTGAACTGGTGGAAATAAGAAATGTAGTTCATTTGATCATTTATCATAATAATAGAGGTAGTTCTTATTATATGCTTGCAACATTTCATCTATGGGACAGGGGTTAATGGTTGGAAAATAATTCATTACCCCATAAACCTATGTAATAACTTTTGAACTCTAGTAAGATTGGACAGTACTAGCTCAAATAGAGTAGCAATACTCTATCCTTGGTCTGATCTGACTATGGTAAAAATAGAGCAGGGCAGAAAGTTAGGTATTTTCTGGAGCAATAAAAAAAAACTGACCATTCTTCCAGCATCTTTAGCAGTGGTACAAATGTACTTCAGGTTAATATAAAATATAAAAAGGAGAGCTCTTCTGTGGTAAAAATTTAATTTTGTTCAGTGACTATAATATTATAATTTCTAAGGTTTCAGTAACAATAGTCCATCCTGGTTATGATGATAAACTACATCTGACAGCAAGGCCTCTGATCAGGTGGTTTTGGAACCACCTCTTAATTGCTGTTTTTCCAAGGTTTACCTGGGGTGGTATCACCTGTTAGGGTCCCAGCTATGGGCAAATAGTTAATCTTCAAAATGGAGTCAAAACACTATGAAAATATTAAAAAATTATACCAGCAATACATTTTAATAGTAAATAGTATAGTTTAATAGTATTACTAGTAATACATTTTTATAAAAAAAAAATTATCAGCAATACACTTTTCAAAGAAATCACTAATACTCACAAGAAAATTAAATTTTGGCATTAAATGATCCATGAGGAGATGATATGCCACTAAACAAACAGGTAATAATGATTAATGTTGTAAGGCAATTACAGATCTTTCTTATGGAATGAGAAAGTTTACATTTGGAATATGGAAGATGGTGATCATTTTTGGTTCATTTTACTGTTTGCTGATTTCTCTAAAGTTAGCATATATATTCTGTGTTTCTTTCTTTTTTCTGTCTTCTTTTATAGATTAGCCTTTAGTTATTGCAAATGTATATAGAAATTTAGAATTCAATTTTGTTTTTATTGTTGTTTTCGTTACTTTTATAATTTTCATTGTTTTACTGTAGTACACACAAATTAGTTTTTGGTGTTGATCTATGTCAATATACTTTTGCTTTAATATGTAAACATGATTACTGATTTATATTATTTGTAACTGTGTGCTGTTGTCTGTTGGATGTTTTGATAAAATATTTGTAAATGTCAGTT